AGGAAGAGGGAAAAAAGGAGTAGGAGTAGGACCGAGTAGGAGGAGGAGGAGGAAGAGGAGGAGGAGAAAGATGAGGGAGGACCTTCTCAACAGCGGGCAGCATCATGAACGGGTTGCGGCTGCACATCGGGTGTGCTGCGACCACGTCCTCGAGTTGGCGCCGAATGGATATGCCACATGGCAAGGGCCTCCTCCTCCTCCTCCTTCTCCTCCTCGTTATCCCTGTTGCTCCTCCACCTTCTGCTCCTCCTCGTTTCCCTCCTTTTCCTCCCTCTCCTCCTCCTCTTCCCCCTCCTCTTCCTCCTCCTCCTCCTCCTCCTCTTCCTCTTCCCTCTCCTTCTCCTCCTCCTCCCCCTCCCCCTCCTCCTCCTCCTCCTCCTCCTCCCCCCCTTCCTCATCCCCCTCCTCCTCCTTCTCCTCCTCCTCCTCCTCTTCCTCTTCCCTCGCCCTCACCTCTTCCTCCTCTTCCTCTCCTCTTGCTCCTCTTTGTCCTCTTGGTCCTGGTGCTGCTGCTGCTGCTCCTCCAAATCCCATGTTGGAATTCTTCTGGTCCCGTGCACACCTCTTTCTCACACCCTTCCTCCTCATCCTCATGCTTCTCCGGACCCTGGAACGGGAGCCGTATGGGGTGGCCATGGCCGTTGCTGCGAGGGGCAAGTTCCGTATCATCCTGGTTCTTTCCTCCCCTCCATGGTCCTCATCCTCCCCCTCCTGCTCCTCGTCTGGTCCTCCTCCTTGCTCATCTTCTTGCTCCTCCTCTTACTCCTAGTCCTCCTGGCCCCCCCCTTGTTATGTTAGTCCTGCTCATGCTCCTCTCCCTCCACCTCAACCTCCCCCTCGTGCTTCTCACCTCGCCCACAAAAAGCACATACGTTCCTAGTAGTTTGTCCCTCCCTCTCGCCACCGACACCCTGAAGAAACCTGGAATTATCGAAACACCTTCTTCTTCTCCTCCTCCTCCTCCTCCTCCTCCTCCTCCTCCTCCTCTCCCTACATGTCCACGTCCACTTGCATATCCTTCTCCTTCTCCTCCTCATTCCCCCCCTCCTCCTCGTCCTCGTCCGCACCCTCCTCTTGTCATTCCTGATCCTTCTTTCTCTTCATCCTCTTCCTCCAGAAACATCGATACGCATCGAAACGCCCAATAAGAAACAGCCGATCACATCTGACCTCTTTGTGACCTCTCCCCGCTTTCCATAGCCCAGCAGGACCATCACAAAATATCGAACTGGTCCCCACAAACAAAAAACAAAGCATTCAAACGCCACACAACCACCACCACTTCCTCAACGTTCGCCTCCATTCTCCTCCTACTCTTCCTCCTTCTCCTCCTCCTCCTCCTCTTCCACCTCCCGCCTCCTCATCCTCCCCACCCGGTGTCCTCGAACAGTGGGCGTACCGGAATCCCGGTGGCCAGGGCAACTGCTGCGAGAGAGCCCCCGCCGGAAGGGAGACGGACGCTCCTTGGGCAGTCGTCGTCGGCGGATGAGACCCAAACACACTTGCGTCGTGAAGACATCACGACAGAAGATATTGGCCCCTCTTTGGCCTCTGGTGCCCCCAAGAACAATCAAAAGACGGCTCGGGACGAGAAACTGGCCAAATAAAGACATCGCGTGTCTGGGTAGTGTGGGTGGATCGGCCCGGGTCTCAAGGAGGCACCAGAGGGCCGAACGAATTCAAATGCACTTCTTGCTTCCCAACGCTCCGTTGGCTGGGGACTCCCTTAGAATGGAGCACGGCTGTTTCTCTACTCCTTCCTTTTCGAGCCTCTTCCCACCTCCTCGTTTCCTCCTGCCTCCGACCTACCTCCTAGCTAGCCTCCCTGGGCGCTGCCAGCTGCTGCCAATTGTGCAACTGTCGCAACTTTCATGAGCTCCTCGGACGTCCAGCGGAGATCGGTCCTACGGAGATCCTCATGGGACATCGCTCTCCCTGGGGGCTGCCAACTGCGCAAAATATCGCCACCTTCGTGAGCTCCCAGGGGGTCTAGCAGAGTGCGGTCCTATGGGGTTCCACATTAAAACTCGCCCTCCCTGGGTGATGCCAGCTGCGCAGATGACAACAACACTTTCGTGAGCTCCTGGGAGGTCCAGCGGGGTGCGGTCCGACGGGGCTTCGAATCTGACCTCGTCCTACCTGTGTGCTGTCAACTACGCGACTGTCGTCCCTTTCGTAAGCCCTTGGATGGTCCAACGGAATGGGATCCAAATGGTATCTCACCCTCTCTTGGTGCTGCCAGCATCGCAGCTGTCGCCACCTTTCCTGAGCTCCGGTGTGGTTCAGCGGAATGCACTCCGATTGGGATCTCACTGAGACCTCGCCCAGACCTCGCCCTCCCAGGGTGCTGTCGGCAACGCAGCTGGCACCACTTTCGTGAGCTCCTGAGGGGTGTCCAGCGGATGAGGTCTCGTTCTCACTGTGAGGTGCCACCTGCGCGACTGTCGGCACTCTCGCCCGGCCTGGGATGGCCCAGCTGTAAGCGGCCCGACGGGAATCCACATGAGAACTCGCCCTCGGTGGCTGCTGCCCACTGCGCAGCTGCCGACACCTCCGTGGGCTCCTGGCGGGGTGGGTCCAGCGGGGGTCCACGTGCGACCTCACCCTCCCCTCGCCATCGCTCGGACGCCCATTCCCCGCGCATCTTCTCGGCTTCCTGCGTGCATTCCCGCAAGATGACCCGACATGCGCCTCGATGGCCCTCGCCGAGGAACAAAAATACAGGCGTCCGAGCGGTGCCAAGCCCTGGGTGCTGCCAAGAGCGCAGCTGTCGCCACCCGGACCTTCGTGAGCTCGGGGTTCACAGCGGAGTGCGGCCCTGCACGGGGATCCAGGCGGGGCCTGGCCCTCCCTCTGGGTGCTGCCAGCTCTGCAGCGGTCGGATGGTGTTGAGCTGGCCGTGCTGGGCCTCGTTCTCCGCCAGCGCCGCCCTCCCTCCCCCAGGTGGTGCCTTCAGCGCAGCTGGGCGACGATCAACGAGGGGTCTTACGCGAGTTGGCACAGCGACGTTATGCCGCGGCTTCTGCGGGCCGCCAACACGGCACACTACGCTGGAAGCGAAGGCGTTTCCGCGCGAGCTTACGAAGGGCAGCTTGTACGCCAATGTCGGCGCAGTCGACCCCGTTTTTTGCGTCGCCCAACAGTCGCCACTCACGTGGGCTCCTGGGTGTCCAGCGCGGTGCGGTCCTACAGAGAGCTCCTAATTTGACCCCACGTCCCGACGTGCTGCGAATTGCGTGACGGTTGTCGCTTTCGAGAGCTCCCGAGGGGTCCAGTGGGGTGACGCCCTATGTATACGTGGACCCAAACGAGGCTTCGTCCTCCCTGGGTGCTGCGACCTACGCAGCTGTCGCCACTTTCGTGAGCTCCTGACAGGTCCAGATGGGTGACGTCCCACGCTGACCCACACGAGGCTTCGCTCTCCCTGGGTGCTGACTTGCGTGCGCAACTGTTGCCACTTTCGTGAGCTCCTGAGAGGTCCAGCGGGGTGACGTCCTAAGCAAAAACCAAACGAGACCTGGATCTCCATGGGTGCTACCAGCTGCCGAGCCGTCGCCGCTTTCGTGAGCCCCTGGGACGTCCAGCAAGGTGCGGTCCTGGGCTGACCCAGAACGGGGACTCGCTTCCCCGATGTCTGCCAGCTGCGTGCACTGTCGCCGCTCTCGTGAGCTCCTGGAAGGTCCGCCGGCGTGACGTCCCACGCAGACCCGAACGAGACTTCGGCCTCCCTGGGTGCTGCCACCTGCGAGACTTTCGACAGCGTGAGCTCCTGGGATGTTCCGCGGAGTGCGGTCCTGCGCAGACCCCATACGGAACCTCGCTCTCCCTGTGTGCTGTCAACTGCGCGACTGTCGCCACTTTCTTGGGCTCCCAGGAGGTGGAGCGCGGTGCGGTCCTATCTCAATCCAAACAGAAGCTCTCCAACGGATCCGGCTGTGCCACTGCGCAATGCGAGTGCCCCTCCCAAGCGTGCAGGGCCACCAACGAGAAACTATCGCGCGATGTCGGCCTGGCAGCATTCCTACATGACTTGCTAGCTGGGGGAAGAGCCGTCGTCTTTCGTCGGCGACCGACCTTATTTCTATCCCTTGCCTTTGCGTTCCCTCCTTTACTCACCCCGTCTCGCAGCTATCCGTTATTTACCTCTTCGTCGTCTGCTTCCTGCTTGTTCGTTTCCTCCCTGTCGCTTCTTAACCAACACCGCCTCGTCTCCTTGTCTTCTTTCCTCGCCCTCCTGCGACCCATACTCGTTACCTACATCTCCAAGGTGTTCAGGTGACTGTGGGACGTTGGAATGCCGCCACTGCCAGATCTCAAGCGGCGTCCATGGCTTTCTATGTAAGCGTCGAAAGAATTCCATGTCCTTTGGTGCACGCATGTGTATCGGATGGAGCAGGGCTATTCTTGTTCGCTTCGGATGAGGTGGGTACTCCCCTCGGGCGATTGCAGTCTTTCAGGCGTTAGGCGGAACTCAGCAGGATGAGACGCCTCTGAAGGACGAGGGGGATGAGGACCAGAAGGCGGGGGAGGATAAGGATGATGATAATGATGATGACGACGATGATGATGATGCTGATGATGATGTTGATGATGCCGATGATGCTGCTGCTGCTGATAATGATGAGAAGGCGGAAGAAGAGGAGGGGACGACGAGAAAGACGCGAAGGACGACAAGGAGGAGGACGAGGAGGACGAGGAGGTCGAGTCGAAGGACGCCGGGCTATTCTAGTGTCGTAGTAGGGCGTTGAACTTGTTGTAATGCTGTGTCATGGCTTCTACGTGAGGTGCTATGTGTGTGTGTGCTTTCTGGGGGTGGGGGGGAAGGAACAGTGGGGGGTGGGGTGGTGGTGGTGGTGGTGGTGGTGGTGGGGGGTTAGGGGATACGTCGGTTCTAAGACCACGTACGAGGAGAAGCAGCATGCGGCGAAATCGGGTGAGGGTGAAAGGGGGATCATGAGGACGATGAGGAGGAGGAACAGGAGCAGGATGCGGAGGCAGAGTTATGGTGACCACGATGAGGGGCAACATGGCAGACAATGATGAGGATACTGATGCTGACGATGCTGAATTCGATAGTGATGATACTGATGATGCTGATGATGATGCTCATGATGATGATGACGATGTTGCTGCAGATGATGATTCTGACGCTGATGACGATGCTGCCGATGATGATGAAGATGAGACAGATGATACTTTGGCTGATCGTGATGCTGCTGATGATGACTATGATGATGTTGTTGATGATGTTGATGATGGTGATTCTGGTGATGAGGATGATCATGATGGTGGTGAGGATGATGACCAGGAGGAAGAGGAGGAGATGAAGAAGACGAGGAGCACGAGGCTGGCCCATGGAGCGTCCCTCTCCCCACTGGAGCCGCTGAAGGCGACGGCCTTTGGGTACTTGTCGCCCTGAAAGTAGTCCTCCTCCGAGAGGCCCTGCGGTATGATGTGTTCCTCGAGCCAGGCTGCAACCTCCAGATGCGGGGACGTGGAGGACGGAGGAGGAGGACGACGAAGGGGAGGAGGGGGGACATAAAAGGCTGGAGAAGGAGGAGGAGAACGAAGGCAAGGATGACGATGCTGCTGATGCCGATAATGATGATGATGCTGATGATGATGATGCTCGTGGTGGTGATGCTGATGCTGGTGATCCTGCTTACCATGATGATGATGATGAGGATGGATGAGGAGGAGAAGGAGGAGGAGGAGGAAGAGCAGGAGGAGGAAGAGGCCGAAGATAAGGATTCATGAGAAGGAGGAGGCAGAAGGGGAAGAGTCGAAGAGGACGAGCGAGAGGGAGGAGGGATGAGGGATAAGGGACGAACATGAGGATGAGGAGGGAGGAGAAGGAGGAAGGTAATGAGTCATTCAAATTTTGAGCGGGCTTGGAGTCCATGTAAGGGTAATGGAGGACTCATTCAGCTTTTCACGAAGAGGGAAGAGGAAGGATGGATGAGCATGACAATAAGGCGAATGTTGAGGAGGACGGATGTGGGAGGATGGGGAAGGGGAGGGGGAAGAAGAGGAGGGAGGAGGAGGAGGAGCAGGAGGAGGAGCAAGAGGACGGCGGATTGGGAGGAGGAGCGGGTGGAGAAGACAGCTGGTCCGACGGTGCGCGAAACCTGCGAGGCCACCCTGCCCCCCCTGTGCACACACACAGACACACAGACGCACAGACACACAGACGCACAGACACACAGACACACAAACACACAGACACACACACACACACAAGGCTCGGGGCATCGTCAGCCGATGGCACAAGTTCTGAAGCCGTACCCCACCCACCTTGACCCCCTTCTCTCGGGCTGGCGCTTCGGCTCTTGTGGACCCCTCACGATAACCGTCCCCTGAGACCCTGAGATCCTGGCGTTTTTTTGTTCGACCCGGCGTTTTCGCCCAGTTTCGGGCCCCGGGACCCTCACAGATCGATCGGGCTCGAATAATGACACAGAGAGACCGATCCAGGGGCTCCAGTTGTGATTTCTCGCGACGCTGCAATTTTTTCGCGACGCGGATGTCAGGGTCTCTGCAGGCTGGACATGCAGAACAACGGCCGACGCCCGAGTGAAGCCCTGCCAGCGCTGGCCGGACGGGGAGAGGCCCGAAATGTACACCAAGACACCAAGCCGTCTGGTCGGCCACGGAGCTCGCTGTACCGACGCCTTCCCAAGCAGGTCACTGGAGCACATCTACATCGAACTCCTTCGCCGAAGTCCGTGACTCCTTGGCTGGCTACATTCCATGAGATCCGAGGTCGCGAACAAATTGTAACACGTGACAAATCACGAACGGAATCCGAGACCAAGTCCTTCTGCGGCATTTCTGCCCCGAAACTGGGCGAAAATGCCCGGAGCCCAATGCGAAACACAAATGCAACGTCCAGATCTCAGGGGATGCCGGAAAAAACACTAGGCTTTCAGATCACAACTCGGGTCTCCAACGGCCGTTAGGGACGATCCGGGCACCCCCTGAACACCCCATGCGAGGCGCAACTGCCTGAAACAAAAAAGCACCCCGAGGCGAGAACACTTCCCGCGGAGCGCCTTCGGGGACCTTCCGAGAAAGCCTATCTCTTGCCCATTTCAATTCGTGGACCTCGTCCCGACCCTTTCCCCAGGGCCAATTGGTCGCTCCGGCTCCATGATAGATGGCCTCGGGGCCCGATGACGGCCCCCAGAGGCCGGCATCGAGGAAGAACGCTGGGGTTGAACAAAACCTTGTCGTCGGAAACCTGGGGACCGTTTTGTAGAGGCCTCCCAGATGGCTTCCGAGGAGATGGGGTCAGAGGATCGCGCCGCATCCCCGATGCATCACCGATGCATCGGCGAGGCATCGGCGACGTCGGCGGTGCATCGGCGACGCTGGCATGGAGAACATTGGGCTCCACATCGAGCCGCATCGCAAACGCATCGGCGATGTGGCACGATCCTCCGACCCTATCTACTCCGACCCCATCCGGCAGGCCTAAGGATTTTTTGGGACCTTAGAGGGCATCCCCCAGGAGCCGAAATCGAGGACAAACGCTGGGCGTTAACAAAATCATGCCGTTAACAAAATCATGCCGTCGGGAATCTGGGGGCCGCGTCTCAAGGAACGAGAAGGAACATACACATGAACTTTTGGAAAGCTGCGCGTGTTTCTTGGATCGACGCTGGACACCCCTCCCTGGCGCGCGGAACGCGCCGGGGGCGGCGCCGGAAGCGATGCCAGGGGGCTCCATCGCCGATCCGAGAAATCCGCGCGGAGCTCCACGAGTCGATGTCTGTGCAATCCTCTGTCCCCCGAGCGTTTTTGCGGACCTCCGAGGGCACCCCCCAGTGGTACACGTAGAACCAGCCTGAAGGGCAACGATAAGGGGGGACTGGCATGGGGGGGGGGACATCGGCCGGGAATCGGGGAGGCATCGCCGATAGACCGGCGACGGGCCCGCGGTAGCGAATCCGCACCTTCCTGGGCGGGGTGGGGCTTCTATCGGGCCCTTCTCGGCGATCCACGGGCGACGGGGGGTCGATACGTTCCTCCCCCATGCCTATCCCCCCCTATCACAGACATGCGACGTCCTGATCCTTTCACACGGCGTCCTTGGAAATCCCGACTCTTTCCCTGGACCGGGATTTCGTCCTGAGTGTTTTTGTCGACGGTCCCGAGGCCCAGCGAGGGCCCCCCGAGGCCGAACGTGGCAAAACACTTCCCGTGCTGATATTTTTACGACGCGAGCATATCTGGGATCGTTGCCCACGACAGCCGGAGGAGTCGAAGCGGAACGTGAGGCGCCGGTGGGCGCCCTCCAGCAGCTCAGCGGCCGCGCGGTCCTGCAGGGCATCGGGTGTGGGTGGGCGGGACTTTGCACGCTCTGGGCGCGGGCGTGCCGGGGCGGCGGCGCTATCGGAGGCCCAATGGGCGGGGGAGGAGAGATGGGGGAGGAGGAGGAGGAGGAGGAGGAGGAGGAGGAGGAGGAGGAGGAGGAGGAGGAGGAGGAGGAGGGAGGAGGAGGAGGCGGAGGCGGAGGCGGAGGCGGAGGAGGAGGAGGAGGAGGAGGAGGAGGAGGAGGAGGAGGAGAGGAGGAAGAGGAGAGAGGAGGACGAGGAGGAGGAGGAGGAGGAGGAGGAGGAGGAGGAGGGAGGGGAGGAGGAGGAGGAGGAGGAGGAGGAGGAGGAGGAGGAGGAGGAGGAGGAGGAGGAGGAGGGGGAAGAGGAGGATGAGGAGGAGGAGGAGAAGGAGGAGGAAAAGGACGGGGAGGGGGAGGAGGAGGAGGAGGAGGAGGAGGAGGAGGAGAAGAGGAGGAGGAAGAGGAGGAGGAAGAGGAGGAGGAGGAGGAGGAGGAAAGACAACACCGAAACGGTCCGCCTGCTCGCTGCACCCGCACACGAAGCACGGGAGTGGCTTCCCGGGCACGGGGCACGGGAGGCAAAGGGCCTCAGACAAGGGGGAGGGAGAGGAGGGGGACGAGGAGGAAGAGGAGGCAGATGGGGGAGGAGGATGAGGACTAGAGTCAACCCAGGATGCATCCACCGATGCTTCGTTACACTTTCCCGTCCCAAATTCCCTCCTCGTGAGTCCGTACAAACCTTCGATTTCCACTGCGGGCGCCACCTTTGAATGACGAGCGGCTGGTCAATCCGCCAATCAAGCGAGGGCGCCGGTTGTAATGGATCCCCTTCCAATTTAAGGACGCCCAAAGGCAACCCCATTTTGAAAAGCACGTGCGCTCCATCCGTCTAAGCGTTGCTCCCACGCGAAAGCCCATCAAAGAGGCCAAATGAGAACCTCATTTTGATAAGAACGTGCCCTCCGTCCGCTTAAGCATTGCAAGATGTCAACGTCGTGGACGCATGCTTCGCGGAAATCTCACGCGAAAGCCCCGTTTCGAAATAGGCGCCGCTCTCCATCCGTGTTAGGTGCTGTGCACCATGGAATGCAGGGTCGCGCGAGGTCGAGGAAGTGTCACGTGATTGTAGATAAATTGGCATTGTGTTCGGATGTGCGCGAGGCCAAAGGGGCCTTCACAAAACGGCGGGGGCGATCAATACGGAATGCGCTAGGGAAGCTGCAGACCCCGAGATATTCCCTACCTGATAACGGCGGCGGTGGTTTCCATGGCCGAGCCACGATTCGAGTTCCACCGGCTTCCAGACCCTGGGTTCCTTATCATCCATCTAAGGGTTCCTTGTGCAGTGCTCCCCACCGTCCTGGAAAGGACTCGCCGACCACCCGCGCAGCTGAAAACAATTGAGGCGCCGAGCATGCACGGCGCCAGGGCGAGAACCCCTTCTTGGAAACCACCTGGCCTCTATCTGTTCTTTGATTATGTAAGACGATGGTGTGCGGTGCCAGCAAAGCGAGAGCCCAATTGTGGAAACCATGTGTGGTCCACGAGCCATCGCGATCTGAATTCAGCTGCTCCTTTAGGCCTCCTTCGGCAATGATGACGATGAACATGAGGATGTGGATGCTGTTGCTGCTTGTGGCGACGGCAGGCCTGGAAGGGCTTGGAGGGGTGATTGCGCAGTAGAGTCTGGTCGCGCCTGGGAACGTCTTGGAGCGCCTGGGAGCGCCAAGGACAGCCTGGGGAGCAGTTGGGTCCCAAATTGGTGTTGGCGAAGGGTGCCCGAAAACCATCGATGTAGTATGTACATGCTGTATATATATACAATTCTACTTGGTTGTGCCGTTTGTGCTTATGGGGCTGTCGGAGCCAGGGGATGGGTAGATGTTGATGATCACCATCTGCGCACCCAATTAAGGGTTGGGCCGGGTGGGCGCGCGCCGAATATAATACATATGTGGTTATATATGTGTATATGTATGCCGCATATGGTGGTGAGGGTTGGGCCGGATGGGTGCACCGAATACTCTCTACATCGGATGATGACGGTGTACACATAATACAGTATGTTGCGTGGGATGATGAGGGTTTGGTCGGTGGATGTATACACCGAACGATTTGTGGTGGCATCGAGTGGTGCGGGTTGGGTCGTACGGATGTGCGCCGAATATTCATGCATTGTATACGATGGTGAGGGTTGGGCCGTATGGGTGTAGACAGACTTGTATTTGTTGCAAAGGATGGTGAGTGTTGGGTCGGATGGGTTTGCACATAATGATATTTTGGTGCATGCAGTCCGAGAAGACATGTTTGGAAACGGATTCCACGCTCGCTTCGGAGCCGCATTTTTCACGGCATCTTCATCAGGGTGCGAGTGGTACTGTCTGCCTTCGGCGTCCCAAGACCGAGTCGATGGGCGATTTCCTGGGCTTACAATCCAAGAGTGAATGAGTGGGAATGGGTCCCGCGCTCGCGTCGTGGCCGCGCTCTCTGCGGCATCGTCATCAGGGATCCAGTGGGTGGTACTCCTGCGTGACGCATGATTGCGTGCTTGCGTTATCGCGTGCTTGCGCATTGCCGTCGGAATGGTGCTCTCGCCGCTGCGCTGGCCACAATTTGCTCGGCGCCGAGGGTTTCGCGACACTTTGATACCCTTGTGAAACGCGCGCATGCGCTCGGCGCCGAGGGTTTCGTGGCACTTCGAGACCTTCTGCAGCGCCCGGATCCACTCGAGAAATGCGACGTTTTGTTTCCAACTTCTTCTCACAGGCTGTAGGTTGCTGCAGGTTGGGTCGCATAGGTGTGCGCGGCGCTCAGGCGAGAGCCACATGTTGAAGTCGAGCCAGCCTCCACCCGTGAAGCTGTATCAAATGTTTGTCTGAAACGGCTGTTCGCTGCGGTTTGGCGAGGGCCATTTGTCGAAACACAGCCCAGCTCCATCCTTGAAGCTGTTGCCAGTTTTGAAACGAATGTACGCCGCCCTGCGGCGAGAGCAACTTTTTTGAAAACCACCGGGGCTCCGTCCACGGAGCTGCTGCAAAATGCAAACTTCAAGATCATGATTGGCGAAGAAGCCTTGGGCGAAACGCTCGGCCCGGCCTACGGACAAGTCCGGTGGTGAGACAGGGAGGACTTAGGAAGGGGGAGGAGGCGGAGGAGGAGGAGGAGGAGGAGGAAGAAGGGGGGGGGATGGAGAGGAGCGGGAGGAGAATGTAGCAGCAGCAACTCGGCATCGGGGCAGTACGAGATGGATAAGCAAATGCTGTCCACGCATCTCTAATTACCCGTCGCTGGGCCGCTTGGCCCACTCGACCAAGGAAAGACACACTTCGAATCCCCAAATGATGGATCCATCGAAGGTTCGAACACTGGCCAAAAAGCTTTCGGGGCATGGCTTGCGCTCGTCGTTGTCCCCCCCCCTCCCTAGTATGAAACACTGCCCTGGAATGCCCCTCCCCGAAGCTTCGAGGAGCCTGCGTCTTGTCTTGGCCCTCGCGCTTTCGCCATTCGGGGAGCCTGTTTTGGGTTAGATCGGGTATGTCCTGCTACAGGCGGGTATTGAAGAACCATAACAATAGCCACCACATGATAACATATTGTGAAGAAAGCGCGAAACATCGTCGCCAGAAGATTTTGTTCTAGCATTATTGCTTTTCCCCCTGTAGGGGGACATGCCCGACTCCGACTTACGCTTTGGGTCCGTGGCCGCTCCTCCGCCGGCGGAGTAGCGCAGGCCTGGTGCGACGGACCCAGCGCAGGGCGAGCCCAGCGAGGGCGAGGCGGGAAGCGTGCGGGGCGCGATCTCCTCTCGCCCTCGCGCCGCCTCCGTGAGAGAGGGGCGCTTACTGGGCCAGTTTTCCATCCCCACCGCCACAGGCAGGACGGAGGAGAAGGGAGGATGGGGAGGTCCCCCTCCCCTCCCCCTCCCCCTCCCCCTCCCCCTCCCCCTCCCCCTCCCCCTCCTCCTCCCTCCTCCCCTCCTCCTCCTCCTCCTCCTCCTCCTCCTCCTCCTCCTCCTCCTCCTCCTCCTCCTCCTCCTCCTCCTCCTCCTCCTCTCTCATACCTATGGCAGTGGTGTTGGTGGTGGAACATCGGCTCCTCCTCCACCCCCTCATGCTTATGGCAGTGGTGGTGGTGGAACATCGGCCCATCAACGCTCTCAGGCCCAGGCCGCGAAGCTGTACATCTGACGTCGGGCTTTCCCAATGTCGGGCCCCTGGGTCCCTCGACCCGCTTCCCCAGTGCGCTTTTTCTGTCATGCTGGCCCCGGAGACTGGACATGACGAAGCACCTCAGCCCTGTTTCGGTCTCGTACCTTGGCTGCTGGGGAGGCGCGGCTGTCCTCGTGCCTCCGCGGGCGACCCAGGTTACCTGGGGTGCCCCGCCCCCTGAGACGGCAGCAGGCCTCTTGAAGGCGGGGGCTTCTCAGAGATCCTGCTCCCGCCGCGCCAGGAGCGCGAGGCGGCCGAGCAGAGCAAGACCCTCCCCGTGCTCCCAGCCGAGCGCCGCACGCGCTGCCCGAGCCCCAGAGAAGCCCGCGGAGCGCGGCGGACTCCGAAGAGGCGGGCCCCCCGTGGAGCCCAAGCCGGAGGGGCTCTCCGGGCCCGGGCCGGAGAGCGCCCGCGCCTCCCAGAAGCCCGCTCGGCCGGCTTCGCCCGCGGACGGTGCGGAGCCCGCGCGCCGGACACACCTGCGGAGGGCCAGCGCTCTCCGGGCCGTGCGAGGCCCGACCGCTGGAGCGACGTGCGGCCACATCGCGCGAATCCTGCTCTCGCCCAGTCTCGCCCCGCCGTGTGCCTCCAGCTTCCTGACGACGACGACGACGACGACGACGACGACGACGACGACGACGACGACGACGACGACGACGACGACGACGACGTGGCAGGAGGCCGAGCCCTCGTGCTCGCGGGCGGCGCTGGCGGGCGCCCCCGCGCGCGCGGCCCGCGCGATCCTCGGACCCCTGCCCGTCAAAGTCGATGTACAGGAGCAGGCTGCAGCCCATGATGCACAGGCTGGCCGCCGCAATGGCCCGGGGGAGGTTCCCCTGGATCAGCACGTAGAGCGCGTGCGCCGAGCAGAGCATGAGCCTGGAGGGACACGGCAACTGCCAACCACAGCGAACGCTCGGAGCCCCGTGCGGCTTTCTCGGCTCGGCGCTGGCGCGCACGCGCCGCCCTGGCGGTGCGCCTGTGGCAGGGGAGGGAGCGGCAAAAAAGTGAGTCTTCGAAGGTTCGCGCGGATTTCTTGAGATCGGTGCCGGACCCCCTCCCTCCCTGGCGCGCGGAACGCGCCAAGGGGGGCACCAGGAACTCCGCGAGGGCCTCCGAAACGGTATGTTTATAAAACAATGCTTCCTGGCTCGATGTATCTGGGTAGGCGCCCCCCCCTGGAGGAGGGATGGGGGAAAGAGGAGGCCCTCCGAACAAATGCATGTCTGTGCAGCTAGGTCTCCCGAGAGCCTGGAGATCTGCACCTCCGTCACCCGGGCCCTCTTCAGCAGCACCGGCGGTATGCCGGGGGAGTCCAGGAGGGACAGCGAGTAGTAGGAGTACACGAGCGCCTGGCACGTGCAGTTCACCGCCGCGGGGAAGTACGAGTCGCCGCCGCAGGCGTGCCGGCAGCAGAAGAACCTGCAGACCAGGGCGAATGAGGCGAATGGAGACAGCGTCAGCTCAACATCGGTCCCCAGACCCCTCCCGGGGTCCAGACGCACCAGTTCTCCGAGCTGCGTGCAACCATGGCGACGAGAGCCCCCCTCGAAGGCCAAGCTGCCGCTGTCTCAGTTCACCCTGCTGTGAGAACCAGCCCCACATGTGCGATAGCCTCAGGGCGATGTGTAGCAGCGACATGCGGTAGAACTTCTTCCGCAGGATCACGAACAGCGTGTCCAGGAGTTCCAGCTGCCGGCCGTGGTACTCGAACCAGAGCAGCATGCCCAGCCTATGGCCGCGCTCCGAAAAGTCCAGGCCGTTGCCCCACGGGTACGGGAAGCCAAGGTCCCAGGCCTCTTTCCACAGCGTGAAGCTGAGCGAAGCGTTCAGCATGACCAGCGTCACGTTGTAGATGAACATGAACTCAAAGATCCGCCGCTGAAGGGATGGGGGGAGATGAAGGCGGCTGGGGGGGCTGCGCTGGTGGGGCTCCGAGAGAATCTGTCAGGAGGAAGGTGAGAAGGGTAAATCTGTTCAAAATCGGACCCTGGACCTCTCCTGGCGTCCATCTGGGCGAGTTTTTCACCCGGGATGCGTTTTGGACGGCCCTGCTCGAAAACGGCCCCTGGATGCCGAACGTGGCAAAAACTTCCTCGAACTGAGAACCTCGAACCTCGCTCCCCTTCCAGCTTCCCAGAACCGATGCTGGACGCCCAGACTGGTGTCAAGGGGAGGCCCCCTGCGCCATGAGGAGGGCGGTGATGATTGGCGGCGCGCAGATGTGGCGGGATCGGGTCGGGGGGGGGGGGCGGCCTTCTAGCAAGGCACGGGGGCGCACCTCGGGGACGCACTGACCCGGGTCAATGCAAACCCGGGTCAGTCAAGACTTGCAAGATCCTGCAAGATCCTGCAACATCCTGCAACATCTTGCGCGCTGACCCGGGTCACTGAGACCCTGGCTCTGCAGGATCCTGCAAGCTCCGGCGCTCTGGCTGACCCCCGCTGACCCCCGTTGAGCCCCCGTCTCGAAGCTCCCGACCACCAGCATGGGTCGGCGGAGAAATTGAAGAGCAACAGTTACGCAAACGCAAAAACTACTGAGACTACTGAGAAATCGAGAGACTACTGAGGAACTGAGAGACTACTGAGAAATTGAAAAACTACTGAGACTACAGTGACCAAGCTCTCGTCGAAAGAGACTACCGAGAAGGAGGAGGAGGAGGGAGGAGGAGGAGGAGGAGGAGGAGGAGGAGGAGGAGGAGGAGGAGGAGGAGGAGGAGGAGGAGGAGGAGGAGGAGGAGGAGGAGGAGGAGGAGGAGGAGGAGGAGGAGGAGAATCGCAGCAGTGACGTCAACGCAAAAAACGTGTGTGCGTCCGCGCGGATTTCCGGGATATCGGCGCCGGACCTCGCTCCCCTATGGCGCGCGGACGACGCGCCCGGGGCGGAGGCTTTCCAGTGCCGAGCAGAGGCATCCGCGCGGACCTCCGCACGCTTCTGATCATGTGCACGTTTCTGATCGTGCTCGTTTCTGATCGTGCTCGTTTCTGATCGTGCTCGTTTCTGATCATGTGCTCGTTTCTGATCGTGCTCGTTTCTGATCGTGCTCGTTTGTGATCGTGCTCGTTTCTGATCGTGCTCGTTTCTGATCGTGCTCGTTTCTGATCGAGCTCGTGCACGTCGTTCATTTCTATGGTCGTGCTCGCTTCTAATTGGTCCTGGCCGCCTAGTGACCAGGCAGAGGCCCAGGCTAGAGCAATTAGAAATGGAAGGATCTTGGCCCCCAAAACATCAAAGAACTTTCGAAGAATCAGAAGTGAGCAGCGTGTAATTTTTGGCTCCCGACGAAAGAGCACTCCTCAGGAGGCTGGACTGCTCCGGAGCCGACCCCCTCGCCCACACCCCTTCCCCTGAGACTCGACGCCGCGACGAGAGGCACAACATCGTCACGAATCACGACCGGGGCCCCAGATCCCCTCTTCCGGCGGCACTTCTCGAGCCGGATCCGTCCGCGAGAGCCCTGGGGCCCGAAGCCGGCCGAGAGCGCCCAGTGCGGAAAGGATGTCGCGCCCGAATCTCAGGAGACGTCGGAGGGTCACTCCGCTTTCCGGCCGACTTGGGGCCCTCTTGGGGTGCTCCAGGGCCGTCTTGGAGGCCTTCATTGGGCGTCCGAGTGCCCCTTGGGGCCCTCCTGGGGCCGTCTTGGGGAACTCTTGAGCCGTTCCATCTTGGAGGCCCCTTGGGCGATCGTTGGGGCGATCGTTGGGGGCTCTTAGGTCATAACTCTGGTCTCTGGCGGAGGAGGAGGAGGAGGAGGAGGAGGAGGAGGAGGAGGAGGAGGAGGAGGACGCTCGGGACCACCCGGGCGCCCCCCGACGGCGCTCCCTGCGAGAGGCGAAGCTGCTGTCGGCAAGCAGCCCGAGGCGAGCAGACCTCCCAGGATGCACACGAAGACGCCTGCGAATCCTCGCGGAGCTCGGGGCCTCCCAGCTGACGAGGGGGACGAGGCAGCCGGAGCGGAGGAGCCCAGAGCTGGAGTCTCCAAGACGGTGCGGTGGCGGTCCGTGCGGGGACCTCGAGGCCCCCAGAAAGACCCCACCGCAAGGTCCGTCACCACCCTGTTTTGGGGAGCGGGGATGCCCCATCCGCCCGAGACGCCCCCCGGAGAGAGCGGCCCGAGTCGCGCAAAACTTGCGGCCACCCCGAATCCCCACTGACTCACCACACGGTGTGGTCACCGCACCGTTTGGCCGCCCGGAGACCATCGCAGATCTCAGGGCCCCTCCCGTGATGAGGGGGGGGAATGAAGAAGTCGGGGCGGATGGAGGCCTCCCAAATGAGTCCGAGTGTTTCGATGGGGGTTGTATGAACGCCCCGCATGGCCGATGCACGGGCGATGTGTCGGCGACAGCGGCGATGCATCGTCGCCGTCGGCCTGGAGACACGAGGGCTCCGCATCGATCCGCATCGCCGACGCATCGGCGATGCGGCGCGAGCCTCCTCCGACCCCATCCGGGAAGGGACGAACGCACCACCTTTGCGGGCGAATACCCAGGCCTCGTGAGACCATGTGGACCTCCTCCTTCTCCTCCTCTTCCTTCTCCTCCTCCTCCTCCGCCTCCTCTTTCTCCTCCTCCTCCTCCTCCTCCTCCTCCTCCTCCTCCTCCTCCTCTCGAGGGGGGGCAGGGCCGAGGGCGGACCAAGGAAAGGGTGCCGCCCCCGTGGTCGGCTCCTGGACGGGCGGGCGCTTCTCCATCACGCGGATCCCCGCGCCCACGCCGAACAGGTAGGCCACGGTCATCGCCTCAGGGGGGCGAGCAGGAGGAGAAGGAGGAGGATGAAAAGGAGGATGATGATGATGAGGAGGAGCAGCAGGAGCAGGAGGAGGTGGAGGAGGAGGAGGATACACACATACATACACACATACACGCTTACACGCATGCATGTATGCATGCATGCAGACATACACACATACAAACAAACACATGCACATACATGTACACAACACATTCGCAACCGTGCTTATGCGCACGGAGTGGGCGTGTGCTCAGGTCCTCTGCCTAATCCTCTAGGCCTCCATCCTCACTCCGGAGGAATTTTGACGGGGCCTGGACCCCCTCTTCCGAAGTCTCCTGGGGCTTCCCGCGTGCCCCCTGGGCTTTGCCAAGTGGTGGCGCGTGACTGATCCGGGCCCAAAAGGGCCTTAAGACGGGCCAGTATGGCCCCAAGAGGCCCCGACGACGGTCCAAGAGGGCCCCGAGTCGCCGAACGATCGCTCGAATGCGTCCAAATTGCCTCCAGATTGCCCAAGGGGCCTCCAAGACGCCCCAAAAGACCTCCAAGAGGCCTCCCAAGAGGGCCCCGAGAGGCCAAATCATTGATCGCCCGAAGGTTTTGAGGGATTTTGGCGTTCTCGCCGTTTCGGCTTCCCGACGCTCCCAGACGGCCCTAGAGGCCCCCTAAGACCGCCTCAAGACGGCCCAAGACGGAGGGCCCCAAAACGGCCCAAGAGGGCCCCAACACGGCCCAAGAGGCCCCCCAAACTGCCCAAAAGGCGCCCCAAGACGGCCCCAAAAAGGGCCCACAAAAGGAAACACGGACTGAACATCCGAGCCTTCCGCCCCAAGAGGCCCCCCAGGAGGCCCCAAAGGACGCCCGAGGCCCCCCAAAGCACCCAAGAGACTCCAAAACAGCCCCGAGAGTCCCCCAAGAGGCACCCAAACGGCCCCCAAGAGGTGTCCAAACTGCTTCCAAGAGGCCCCCGAGGGGCCTCCCACGAGATCCCAACCAACATCCAACAGGCGTCATACCCACAGCCCAGGCAAATCAATATGTATAGTCAGCCGGTGCGGTGAGGTTGCGTGGCGCAAGCCCCCCCTTTCCTAATGCGGCAACTCCCTATGTGGAGTCAGCCGGTGTGGTGAAGATGCTCGGTGTAAACCTCCCTCTCCCCTAACGCGGCAAGTCCCTGTGTACAGTCAGCCGGTGTGGTAAGCATTCGCGGCACAAGCCCCCCCTTCTCTAACGCGGCAAATCCCTATATACAGTCAGCCAGTGTGGCAGGGATGCGCGGTGCAAGCCCCCCTTTCCCTTGTGCGGTGAATCCCCATGTGCAGTCAGCCGGCGTGCCAACGATGCGCGGTGCAGGCTCCTCCTCCCTAACGCGGCAAATCCCTATGTACAGTCAGCACGTGTGGTAGGGATGCGCGGAGCCCCCCCTCCCTAACGCGGCCAATCCCAGCCCATGTGGTAAGGATGCGCGGCGCAAGACCCCCCCTCCCCTAACGCGGCAAATCCCTATGTAGAGTCAGCTGGTGTGGTAAGGATGCGCGGTGCAGGCCCCCGCTCCCTAGTGCGGCAAATTCGTGTGCAGAGTCAGCCGGTGTGGTAAGGATGCGCGATGGAAGGCCCCCTTCCCTAACGCGGTAAATCCCTATATACAGTCAGCCAGTGTGGCAGGGATGCGCGGTGCAAGCCCCCCCATCCTAACGCGGCAAACCCTTATGTAGAGTCAGCCCATGCGGTAAGGATGCGCGGTGCAAGCCCCCCCATCCTAACGCGGCAAATCCCTATGTAGAGTCAGCCCATGCGGTAAGGATGCGCGGTGCAAGCCCCCCCATCCTAACGCGGCAAATCCCTGTGTAGAGTCAGCCGGTGTGGCAAGGATACGCGGTGCAAGCGCCCCCTACCCTAACGCGGCAAATCCCTAAGTCGAGTCAGCCGGTGTGGTAAGGATGCGCGGTGCAAGCCCCCCCCTCCCTAACGCGGCAAATCCCTATGGAGAGTCAGCCAGTATGATAAGGATGCGCGGTACAAGCCCTCCCTCCCTGACGTGGCAAATCCCTACAGTCGGCCCGTATGGTAAGGATGCGCCATCAGGGTGCAAGGGCCTTCGACGCCCGTTTCGAAGCTCTTCGAGCGGGGCGCGGCCAACGAAAGTGGCCAAGGGTGGACCGAGGAAGCAAGGATGCAAGGGTAACCGTGGGAAGGTCGTCCATCCTTACTATGCGGGTTGACTGTGCAGTCAGCTGGTGTGGTAAGGATGCGCGGTACAAGCCCCCCCTCCCTGAGGTGGCAAATCCCTGTAACCTGACCTGGCCCAGGCCCTGTCGCGACGCTGCGCCAAAGCTATTTCGTCGGAACTGCGCCGCGGCAAGCCCTAAACCAAACCCTAAGCCCTAAACCCTAAGCCCTAAGTCCTAAACCCTAAACCCGTCTGTGGAGAAGTCTCGGTCAGCTTCAAGTCGCGCAGCCTCGCCTCAGGACTGTACCCGAAGTCTCCGCGAGGACCCAGCTGCTTTGGGAGAGCTCGGCGGCCACCGAGGAGGACGACGCGTCATATGTGGGGTACGACTTCGCGCGCTCGCCCACCGTGACGTAGTCGATCCATGGCGACTGGCAGTCCAGGAAAATATTCTTGGTCTCCAGGCCAAGCGGCAGCTGGTGCGCCACAGCTGGTATGGTCCCCGGTGGCAGCGCACTGCCCGCGAACCCCACGAATGCGTCGGGAGACCTGGTGCGCCGCGCGACCCCGCGGACCTCGGGCGCGTGCCCGGAGAAGCGGCGCGGCTTGAGCCCAATTGGCTACCGAAGGGAATGCCTGGCCCTGGCCATGGTATCCACACACACACACACGCACACCGCGCACCCCTAGTCCTCACCCCTTCTTGAACGTCCCCGACTGCAACAGCATGCAAGACGTCGGGCTCGCGCGAGCCGTTGCACGCATCCGGGGCCTTGTTGGAGCGAGGAGGAGGAGGAAGGAGGAAGGAGGAGGAGGAAGAGGAGGAGGAGGCGGAGGAGGAGGAAGCGGAGGAGGAGGAGGAGGAGGAGGAGGAGGAGGAGGAGGAGGAGGAGGAGGAGGAGGAAGCGGAGGAGGAGGAGGAGGAGGAGGAGGAGGAGGAGGAGGAGGAGGAGGAGGAGGAGGAAGAGCACTGGCAGCAAGACGAGCCCCGACCGGATCGGCCGGGCCGGCGGCCCGGCGCACCCGAGCAGGCCTGGCGCCGGTGGGGGCGGGGGGGCTGCCGGGGCCGCCGCCAGGCAGATCAGCCAGCTCAGCTCGGCCCACGGGCCGCCCGCGCGTTCGAAGCGGACCTCGCCCGCCCTCGTGTACCAGAGGCCTGGCGAGCGGCGAACAGATCCGTACCCATACGACCACCTTTCGGGCGATCAGGCGCTCGGGGTGAGGAGGAAGAACCCGCTGCTGGCAACTGCGACGAGTGTGCTGATGGCGATGCTCGTGGCGCGCCCTCGATCCCACAGCCGATCTCACAATCGACCTCACTATCGATCTTACGGTCGATCTTCCGATCGATCTTACGATCGATCTCATTGGAACGATCTCACCGTGAATCTCACATTCGATCTCTGAAGCGCACTGATCGATCTCACTGTCGATGTCGCAATCGATCGAACTATCGACCTCACTATCGACTGCACTATCGATGCGACTATCGATCGCACTATCGATCTCGTTGCCGTTCGCACGATCGATGCAACTACCGATCTCACTACCGACCTTTGTATCGATCCATCTATCGATCTCACTACCGATCTCACCAGATCTCGCCCGTCATTGATATCACTATCGATCGGGGCACCATCGGGACACCACGGCGGGGTACCGCGGGACACCTCGGGACACCACTGGACACCACTGGGACACCGCGGGACACCACTGGGACGCCGCGGGACACCACGGCACACCATCGGGACACCACGGCGGGACACCGCGGGACATCATCGGGACAACGCGGGACATAACGGCTGGACACCCTCAGCCACCGCGCGCCCACTGGAGGGCCGAACTTTTGCACCCGAATCGCCCTAGCGACGGCGGGGTCATTCCTCTCGCGCGCCCACGGCGAGATACCGCTGGACACCATCGGGACACCGCGAGATACCACGGCGGGACACTCCCAGCCACCGCGCGCTCACCAGAGGGCCGGACTTTTGCACGCGAATCGCCCTAGCGACAGCGGGATCATGCCTCTCGCGCGCGCCCACGCAACTTCGCCTCGCCCGCACGCGCGGCACGAACACGAAACCGAAACCGATATCCCGGCGGGGGGCTCTCCGTTCCACTGCGATCTAACCCCCCAACCTCCGATTCGCGCCCTCGCGGCCTGGATTCTGGGGCGGGATCCCGCGGATACGCGGTGGCACGGGTGCGTTCCGCGTGTGGCACCTGGGAGAGAAACACTTCGCGTATCCGCAGGGTCGCGGCCCAGGGGCCCAGCCCGCGAGGCCGCGGGAACGGATATGTTTTTTATCCACGAAGGGCTGCGACGGGGGGGAGAGAGGCGGCCTGAAATTGAGGATCGAGGTTCCCAGACATCCAACGTATTGAACATCTCCCCGAAACAATTCTTTTGTCATTTTTGGCCTCTGGGGGCCCTCGCTGGGCCCCAGGACCGTTAACAAAAACGACTTAGAATCAAAAGCCGGTCCCAGGGAAGGGGTTCAGACCTCTGGGGGTCCACGTCGCGGAAAAACATGACGTCGGGGCTCTGGGAGGGGTGGAGGCAGCCCGAAAACGAGAATTCGAGGTCCGAGGAGGCTCGGGGATGGAGGTGTGCGACCAGAGGGTGGGGGGCGGCCTGCAATCGAGGCCCGAGGCTTCCAGACATCCAAAAGCTGGAGGGCGAGACCTTTCAAGGCTATCCCTTTCGGGTGACGGCTGGTGGAGTTCCACATCATCACTGTGGTGTATCTCGCCACCAGCATTCGTGCTGAACGTAGTTGAGCCCTGAACCTCTCCTTCTTCCCCTACTTGCTCGACTGTGGCTACTAGGACTCCAG